GTTTTTGGTTTTTTTATTTTAAATAGAATAAAACCAAGCAAAATAAAACAGAATAAAGTCAATCAAAACAAACCAGAGTAAGTGACATAGGATTTCAAAACAGTAAGCATTCAACAATGGTTACCATAATGTCTCTTCTTATCTTCAAAATAGCTGCAGATGGATGTGAGGGCCACCTGGCTGTGACATCTGTCACCCCATTGATCACCAGGGTTGATTTGGCTGATCTGGCTGGCTAGGTGGGTGTCCCCTTCCTCCCCTAAAGATCCATGTGCGTCCCTCCCAAAGCTGCGTGCTCCATAGAAGAGGACGACCACCCCCAATAGAGGAGGACCGTTCCTGGTTCAAGGGTGTACAAGTAGCTGCGCTCCCCTGCTAGAACCTCCAAACAATCTCTCAAAATAGCTGCAAATACTTTCAGACTTAGTAAAAATCAAACGAATTAGGACAGAGAATAACCAATAAAAACAAAACAATGAATGAAATAAAGCATTTCAAAACAAGATAGTAGTAAACTCAAAATGGCTACCATAATGTAACTTAATTTAGTTAAACTTCTAAACATCTCAAGTTGGCTAAGCAATTTACCATTACAGCTATTTACCCTAATTTGATCATTATGTATGTATGAATTTAGCTATGATACTACAGATAGCTATACATACAGATGTGGCTATGGCTCCTGAGTTTTTGTTCAACTTTTACTGTTGGTGGAAGCACAGTGCGTTCCTGAAAAGCACAGAAATACCTAGCAAAATCTTCCACTTGCAAGGGGGTAATGGTGAGTCTGATCGTCTTAGCTTCCTTCTGGAAACTGACAAAACAGTGACCAGTATTTGCGTTATTACCGGAGTAACTCTGGTGAATGAGCAGAACCTTTTCTCCACTGAAGAGTTGCTTGTACCAGTACACATCATAAAGGGTTGCACTCATCTCGTAGGGACAGTCCAGAACCACTGCGGTCCCCTCTGGCCTTGATAGAGCGATCTGAGCTTGAATCACTTTCTAAGCCACAGTGTGTCCTGTAGGAGCAATAAGAAAACATAGCTGATCTGCTGATGCAATAATAAAATATTGCAAGATTTCAGACTAATTCAGGACCCAACAACAAAACAAACTGGAGTGACAATTTGCTTGTTCTTTTCCTCATTCCCTTTTCTTCGTCTGGCCCATGTTAAGCATCTCACATCTGCACGCAGACATTTCACCTTTAATATCCGTGACCATATTTGGACCATCAGTACCAGAATATACAATGGCTACCAATATCCAGAGCAGACTGGAGAGCATGGTGTGGCCCACATTTCTGTTCAGGGTGTTCTCCCCTTGCTGGAGGTCTAGGTTCAAAGGCTCTGGCTGCCTCCCAGTTTGTATAAGCATGGGTGTTTATGTAGCTCCTTCACACTGGAAGTGGGGTTTCCTAGGCTCATAGAGCACCAGAGAATAATCACATGAGAATAATCATGGTTCACTGCCAAGTCTACTTGACTTTCTGTAATATGTTTCAATATAAAAAAGGCCACCTGAGGACAACAGTCAGTATAGAATTAGATTGTTTAACTCTTCCTATAATAACATGTAGACTACAGTTACTAAGTTGACAAGGTTCTTTCCTGGGAAGACACTGAGTGTTCTTACAGTTCATGTGTTCTCAGAAATTCCTAATTCACATTTAGTCCACTAAATGATGGTTACCTACAACATGTTAAGCTCCATCATTAAAGTGAACCAAACAGATGGCTTTAAATGGAATAGGAAGCAGATTACTAAAACAAATCCTATTCCACACCTATATTCCCTCTAAACTGGACCTAGACGTGTGAAAGGAGGGAGCCACCTGGAAGTGGATGGCTGAGGGATTTATCAGGAGGCGAGTATGCCTGTTTGAATATTTTTTTCAGACATTGGGCTGCTTTTGGCATCCCAACTCTCTGACTCTCTTTTTTGTCCTGGTCAAAGTGGTTCACCTTCAAACTCAGGAGGTTGCAAAGAAGTGAGCAAACCTGGATGACATGAGGGGAAAACGAGGAAGGCGTACACGCAGCCAAGATGTCAGGATGTCTCACCACTGTATTTCCATCCTCTAGACTTCACGAATAGCCTTGGAGAGAAAGAAAACAAACTTTCATATTAATATATTTTCAATTGTACTAAACTTAGTTTCAAAATCAAAACTTTGATCAATTTAAAGTTCATTTCATTGCAGTGAAATTCAAAAAAATATCTTTTCGTAGTTGCTGGAGTTACTAACAATGGACTATCCACAGAGAAATTAGGAAAACCATGCTATTCCAAAAAGTTCCAAAAATAAACTGCCTCGGGTGTTTATCCCCACTAACTGAAGTTAATCTCCTGGAAAGGTTGAGATTTCCATGAAAAGGTGACTGTTACACAGTCTCCAGACTGGCACTGGGCACAGGGAGTGAGGGGAACAGCTGCATGGCTGGTCTCTCACTCTTCCATCCTAGTGAGAAGGCTGCCCATCCCCCTGTGCACCCACAGGCCGGGCTGCTCCCAGCCCCATTCAGAAGGAAGGGTTTGAGGAGTGAAATCTCCCCAGCCAGTCTGCCTTTCTCAGATATAAACCAAGAGCAAAACTATTAGCCATTCATAATTATAGATGATAGTGCCTCTCTACATAGGACTTTTTACACATTTTAGCCTGAAAGTATCAACTGTGAGTCTCCATAGTCATTTCTACCTGGACACAGATGATAGAATGTCAAAAAATCCACCCCAAAGAAATTAATATAATTATAAACTGATCCCCTGGTCACTAATTCTCAAAATATTCTGAGATTTAGTTTTGAATAAGAATTCTTTGTATTTCTTTAGATTTTTATTTAACTTACTTCAAGTTTTAAAGATAGTGAGATCATATATATATATATATATATATATATATATATATATATATCCCATTAAGTGGATGGAGAAATTAAAATCTGGAATACAACAATTAGAAATGCTGCTCCACAGGTACCAGGAAGGCCCCACAGTCACATTTCACACAGGGTCAGCACCCAAAGTCCCTTCCCCAGACCAGTATAACTAGCACTCAAATCTTGAGGGTTGAGGTCTGTTTGTGAAGAGAGCCTTTCTTTACAAAGCTGATCCCTTGACGAAGCTGAGCTCTTCCACTGTGGTCACCACTGTTCCACAGAGTACACCTTAGCCCAAGAAGGGCCACAGCCAGTAACTTCAGTGCTTCACTGTAACCAACAAAAGGTGAACAACCTGTACCCCTTCCTCAGGTCAGGAGGAGCCAGCTCTGTGGGGCAGTGCATGCCCTGAAGCTCCTTAGAAGCTGCGTCCAGACTCCAGCTAAACCATATCTTTACCTTTTTAACCTGCTTTCTTCCATAAATTATAGGAAGAATTTCAGTTCAAGATCTTTTGAATTCAAACTACACTAATGTGTCATTTCATCTATTTATAAAACCAGTCCTCAAATATATATATATATATATATATATAGTGACAGCTTATGATCAAATGGCCTGTTTGGTACCATGATGGCTGTTCAAACTACTATCATGATCTTGGTTCCATCAGCAATTCTGTGCTTCCAGAATGTACTGAGAAACCTGGAGCCAGCATGTGTCAAGATGTCACCACAACCTCTGTGTTCCTTACTACTGTCTAATTCTTTTTCTTTGCTTTGGAAATATTTGCTAGGAGCTTACAATTTCAAATTCAGAATGTGACACAAATCCAGATTTGGCTGGATTAACAAATCTTAATTTCATATATCCAAATTGTTCTAGATTTTAGCTTACATAAACAATGCCATGGCTTACAGGCTAAAATATTCATTTTACAAATAAAGGTAGCTTGAATTTTTATTCTTGTAACTCATCCTAATACCTATTACACTGTATTAAGGATTTCTTTTCATCAGGCCACACATGCATTTCCTGGAGTTGATGGGAAGGGAAGACCTGATTCACTGTACCTAGAAGTCAGAAAAGAGGGGCTGGAATGACGCATGTCACATCTTCAGCTTCTCTGGTCTCTGAATCTCCTCATCAACACCTGCTAAAAATCTCCCCAGTACCAGGTGTTCTGTGCTAGCAGATCCAGGCAGATCTTCAGTTATGAGAACAAAGCACCTTAGGTGTCCAGAACTCCTCTCAATGCCTTATCCAAGACCCTTCCTGAGATAGCTGTGGTCGTGCTCTTCCCTGTGCCCTACTGGTGTTTGGAGCAGTTTATAACTGTGGAGGACCAGTCCCTTAGGTCCAAGCCTCACTCAGGGGCACAGGAGTCAGGCTATGGAAGAGAATTCTGAGACCTCTCAGCCTGAAATCAAAAACAGGAACACAGACCATTTCAGATATTTGTTTTCAGCAGTCAGCCCAGCCAGCTATTTTGGCCAGTTCTCACTGTCATTCTGTTGTGACTTTGCCCACCTGCTGTGTCTTTACCTAATCTAGGGGAGAGGCTGCAGCTGAAAGTGGAGGAAAAGTGGGAGATCTGTGAAGTAGTTATGAACTAAGCCTTTCTGAAAGTAGGGGTTTAGGACTCCTTTCTTTCCTTTGCATTTCTCTTTTACCAATACTTTCCTAAAGCAGTGAGTCGGACAGCTTGAGAAACTGAACAGGAAGAGGAAGAGCATTAAACTCTGCAAGGGAATATCCACTGTTGCATCAAGATGTGCTACTTCATTTATAAAACTCATCACAAAACTAATCCTCTGCATAAAGTTGTGACTTAAAATTAGAGAAGACATCAAGGTGTACCTGCTGTAACAATTTCTGTCAATTGTAGTTCAATTTTAAAGCAAAAAGGAGGAAGGGGAACATAGAGGTTACTGACACATTTATAGCACTGTTTATATTGATACATTAATGGTGATACATAGCTCTTCAATTGCACAGAGATTTATAACTTACACATGTGCACCTTTTGTACATGCACTATCTCAAACCTCCCTTTTCATTGTAGTAGCCATGGAAAGAAGGAAAATATTTACATCAGACAAAGATTTTGCCTCTCATTTCCCTTCCATGGTCATTTATTTTCAGAATTATTAGACACTCTCCTAGTCTCTACTGTTGGTCTTAATCCCCTCTGCATCTGGAGCAGACACAGAAACCCTCTGCCCTGTGCTCTCTGCTCTGCCTCAGGGCTGCGCAGGCCCCTGTGGTTCTGGTGCAGGCTGCAGCTGCCTGTGGAGCACTGTGTGCTCATTGCACAGAAGTAGGCAGCCGAGTCATGGTGCTGGGAGCCTGTGACGTGCAAGGAGAAATGCCGGCTGGCTGTGCTGAGCTGTGCTGTGAATCTTCCTTCCTTTCTGTCACCACTGGAGAACAAAGACATCAGAAACTCAGGACGTTTTCCAGGATGCTGTTGGTACCAAATAAAGGTTTGAAAATTCCTGTCACTGTAAGTGCAGTTGAGATCAACGCTGTCTCCCTCTGAAACACTGAGAGTCTCAGGACTCTGCTCTACCTCCTTCTGCTGGCTGCTCACCCCTGTGCAAAAAGACAACAGGCAAAGATCAGTTGGTGAGTGGATGCTTACTCTCCAGTACAAAAAATTGTTTTTTCAATGCTTTCCCAGTTGCCTTTTTTTTTAGCAGATTAAAAGCATTCAGATTGATTCCACAGTCTTGATACATATGACAATTTGATATGCTGTATTTGAAGTTCCCAAAGAAATGACCCTACTCACAGATGAACTGAAGCCACAGGATCACTAGGAAAACACTGCAGGATCCAATCATTCTGCTCTTGTTCACTGAGGATTCAGGTCTTAAACTCTAAAAAGCTTCTTCAAATAGTTCTGATTCTTTTGCTGTAGGAAACAAAGAATATAAGTTTATGTTCTCAAAATTACAATATGTTTTTTAGACATCCAGCTACAACAAGCTCCTAGTCTGATTCTCACTCTCCCTCCCTGTCTCTGTCTCTGTCTCTGTCTCTGTCTCTGTCTCTGTCTCTCTCCCCGCCCCCCCCCCCCCCCCGCGCATCCCAATTCAAAAATGTTTCTCAGGCTGCCCTCTTTTGGTCTCAAATGATAATATGCAAACTCCTGACAGTCTTGATAAATTTAACAATTACGAAAGATTTACTCCAAGTCAGTCTCTATGCATATGTAGGATGCATACATGTTCGTGTATTTTGTATAAAATGGCAACAGACTAATCACAAACTTTATTCCTAAAAGAACCGTGTGTTTTTCTCATGATATTTGGACAGTCCTAGCTTAGCCCATGATTGCATATAACACTCAATAACATTGTTAGTACAGTTCACTGAAGTGATGTAATTCTAATGTGAATAAAATTTAACACTCATTCCAAAGCAGAATTAAAACACTTCAAGGTTTTATGCTTCTTTCTGTGTAGACAACAAATGTCTTTCTCAGGTAGAAAAGTGATTCTTGACATTTTGTCTATTTTTTTCTTTCACAATAAAACCAAAGATAAGCATTTCAATCTAAATTTCCATGTGTGAGTCATACACTCACTGAATGGTGAGTGGATCACAATTGTCTGAATCTGGCATCATAGAAGTCATGATTGTGTTAATACCACAAATTAGATTCATCCTATTAGAATTCTACTGAACAAGCTTTAATTAAACAATGTAGCACAAGTGAAGGCATTTAGACTCAGTCCTTGTCACTCAGATTAATCAGAATGGATGGTGAGGTAGCATGGCTGTCAAGAGACAAATTTCTACATTACAATATGGGGCCAAGAGTGGGTTAGAATGAAATACAGTGTGTATGAGTCCTTTAACTACTACGTGTCTTCCCCAGTGTGCTTAATATAATCTGTGATCTCGCATACTGAGTGTTTTCTTAGTGCTATGCTTACAGCAAACAACCCTGAAAGCTGAGGCATTTTTTCCTGAGACAAAGAGCAAGTCTGCTCACTGTTTGCTGCTAAGGCAGGGAGTTCCCAAGCTCAGATTTCCTCTTCTGGGCACACATAAGCTTAGGCACAGCATCCGTATTCACCCACTGTGTGCCCTCAATAGACACCGGATATGGAAGCATTGAAAGGATGCACCAGAGCTTATGCTGTTTGCTGTGCTAGGGCCAGTATATTCCTTTCCCTGGGCCTGGAAGCTGTGTGTTTATTGACAGCATTACTGCAGCAGTCAAGTTAGCTCAGCAAAGGGTAAAATGCAAGTCCTAATAGGCCCTTAGCTACCTCTGAATTACTTTTGGGAAAAATAGCTTTTCCAAAAATGGATTATTTGAAGGATATAATAGGTAGCTCCTGATGGGATTAGCACATCACAGTCTGATAAAATATATGAGCAATGTTCAGACATTGTTTTATGAAATAAACAATATCAGTGCCATAGATGTAGATGACTATTAATCTTGTGAAGAGCCACTTAGTCACAAAAGAGGTATTGAAGTTGGACTATTATTCATCAATTCACATAACCGTATCCTTTTAACATGTAATCATTTATAAAATGCCTACAAAAGCTAATTATCTGAATTTCTTTCTTGGGGACATTTCTTCTTGTAGTATTTTGATATAACATTTTAACTATGTGACTTGAGAAATAATTTTTTATTTTCCCATACCTTTTAGTTGTGGCTTTCTTCTCTGTAACATTTTCTATGGGTTTACTCACCTTAGAGCATGCTGGCTCAGGCCTTCTGATGAGGTGAGGTCCATTGTGGGAGGGAAGGATGAGACTATGAGTGAAGTTAATTTTTGGCAGAGCGCCCTGAGTGCAGAAAGGCCAGGGCCTGAGTGTCGGGGAAAGGGCCAGGGAGGACTGACCTGCGTCCCATAATGCTGCAGAGCTCACACTAAGCAGGAGTCACTGAGATGAGGAGAGAAATGGAAGGAGGAGGGAGAGAAGGACTCAGCCACACTCACTCACCCACTCACTGATTCATTCCTTGGGTGGATGTCTGTGAACTGACTACAGTGAACTGGTCATCAGTCTAGACACCAGTGATAAAGCTGGGGCCTGAACAGTTTCCCTGGCCTCATACAACCTGTAATCTAACTAGATGAATAATCACTCAAAATACTGGAGCACAAATCAACAGCATAGCTGCTTGTTACTGTTCTTACCCTATGGGAATAATTAGCTTTGGGCAGGAAGATCTGAAGAAGTGAGAGGATTTCTGTACAGTAGTGGTGCTTGCACTGAGACTTGAAGAGGAGACTGAGTCGGGCTGGCCAAGATTTGAGGGAATAATACTTTAGGTGGATAAAAGAGTAAGACTAAATGTGGGAACCGACAAGGCCTATTCAGTGAACTGAAGGAGACTAGGATTGTTGCATCACAGAGAGAGTGGAGAGGAGAATTAAGAGCTGAGTTTTAAGGGCAATCCCAGGTAAAAGTTCTGTGTGCTTTGTATCTCACAGCTCAAAGATTGTATTTCACTATAGGAATAATAGAAGGCTCCTGAAGCAATGCAGACAGTGGTAGATTGGATCGAAGCTCTAACAAGCACGGTGACAACTGACAGATTAAGCACTGTCTAGCTGTTAAGTGACAAACACTACTAGGGGGCTTGTGAGCACACAGGGATGTTGGGAGCCCCAAACAGTGCATGGGCCAAATGACTGCTCTTGCTTGTTCTGAGGAGCACGGGTGTGTGCAGTGGATGACTTCAGAGGAAAAGGGCACTGAGATGGCAACTTGGGTCAAAACAACACATTTTTACCTTTTTGTTTTTACATGTTTTACTGTAGGAAAGCATACTGATCCCATGTGATGGACTATGATGTTTTCTCGTCCTGTTTTATTTTTTAAGACCAAAATGCATAATCTCATGTGCAAATAAAAGGTAAACTTAAAATGCTGTGAAAACTTTCATGTAAAATAGTAACTACTTTAAAATATTAATGTACAAAATGATTAAGTAGTGGTAAATTAGCATCATTGTTGTGCCACTGTTAACATTACCTTTTGATGAAAAAAATCTTTTAGGAATCAGTCATTCAGTGTCATAGATTTTGTCTTATTTGGGTAACTTTTTTTCCAATGAAACTTTAACTCAATGATGTTCATGAAAATTATCCCCACAATCTTGAGGCTAGCCTAGGGTAACTAGTGAATTCAAGACCATTCTGGGTTAGATAGTGACACTCTCTCCCAAAAGAAAATAAACTCAATAATAATTAGGAAAAATGTCAAAAGTTTAACTTAAAAAATTTATGTAAAGTAATAGAGCAACCACTTGAAATTATACTCTCGAGCTGTGTGGGGGTGCACTGCTGTAATCCCAGTCAGCACTCAAGAGGCTGAGACAGGAGAATCACTGCAAGTTTGAGACCAGCCTGGGCTACAAAGTGAGCCCAAGGCCAGTCTGAACTGCACAAAAGACTTGTATCAAAAAAAAGGTAGGAAAAAAGAAAGGAAAGAAAGAAAGAAAGAAGGAAAGAAAGAAAGAAAGAAAGAAAGAAAGAAAGAAAGAAAGAAAGAAAGAAAGAAAGAAAAATAAATTACGCTCTCGATACCTTTCTCTGGCAGGGAAATACATAAATAAAATGTGGAAAATGACAACCATGCTAATAATTTCTGGATATGTGATGACCCCCTTTAATGGAAAAATCAGCTGTATATGTGTGCCCCAGCATCTTAAATGATATAAATTGCCATCTATAGCCCTTATAATTATAGAGTGTATTATTAATATCTGAGTCCTTTTATAGTCTAAGTTACCCAAAACAATACATTTAACTATGAAATGCATTTAGTATAATTTAAAATGCAAACTCCCTCCTTCAGATTCCAATGCCTGCAGTGGACAGTTTGGGGAAAATCACAAAGGCGTGAGAAAGCATGTGTTCTGCTTCCAGTTCCCACTTCTCTAAGTCATGCCCTGGCTGAGTCACACCTGCCTGTGTGTCCTAATTAGCCCATCAATTAAACCACAGGGAAGAGCTGGGTCAGCTTTTCTTAGCTTATACTTGAGGCAAGAGATCACGTCAAGCAGTGCAGGGAGGAGACTCTTTCAGGAGGAGTTTGTTATAGGTATAACAGTATTTGATTTGATTTGATTTTACTTATTTTTTAAGAGCAGAATATATTTATTGAGAGAAGAAAGCTTCTGTCTGAAAGACAGAAGAGGTCCTAAGTGAGTTGACTGGTATTTTACTTTGTACTAGGAAAATATATGACCAGCACATCAAATATATAGCTTAATAAATAATGCCATTTTTAAAAGAACCGTGTTTATTTAATTATTAATAAAAGTTATTTAGTATTAAATTAAATAAATACAGTAATATCTTGGTTGTGAGTTGTCAATTTATTCCATGTTAGTGTTCAAAAACCAAAAGTTAAAGAAATGAACATATTTTTGCCATAAGAAAGCATGAAAAACTGAATAATTGGTTCTGAGACCACAAATTCCACTTAAAAATTCATTTTCCTAGGAACTGAACAAATTTCACATTGATTTCTTTCTCTAACACTATTGCAGTTCTCAACAGTTTTTCTCTTACCTTACTGCTGGTATCACTATCTTTGGAGCCACGGTTGTGATACTTTATGCAAATAAAGACCAAAAAGAGCACAGTGGAGACAGTTTTAAGCCCCTAGCATGCACACCACATGTTGTCTGGCCTGGAGAGAAGCTTGGGCAGAACCCTCAGCCCTCATGTCCACGGTGAGACGCCATGACTGTCTCCTGGGGGGTACATGGTTTTCCTCAGGCTCGAGTTTTGGTTCAAGCAAAGTTACGGACACTGAGGAGATTCTGGGGGGACTTGGTTTAAACACACAAGCTCACTCAGAGATTCATTAAGTTTACTATTTTTCAAAGATATTCACTCTCTTCACAGTCTCCACACATGGGAATAAAACCTCTAAACATCTTTCTATAACTTCAAGACCAATGGAGATTTACTAAACCCAAAGCCAGCAACTCACAGGACAGCAGGAAAAAGTCATGAATGAA